TTTTAATGCTTCCGAACCTCAGCTATCCCTCTCTATTTCTGTGTCTCCCTCGACCAATAGAACTCTTAATTACGCCGAATGCAAATTGCTTATCAGCAATTATCAAGTATCAAAAAGTGCCATTAATTGAGAACCACGCATTTTTATCCGCACTGTCAGCGAATGCGATAAACTTATCAAGCGTGTGGGACAGTGATTTAATTGTGCCAGACGTCGGTGCCTGCACTTGATATTCAGATAAAAAAGAAACACGTTTAAAAGCTGCTACTAACCGCAAAAAGCTTGAAATATTTAAAACTTTGCCATCTCCTTAACCTTAGCGTTTTGCACTCGATTTCATTCAAGATCTGAATTCGCGTTAACAATTAGCGCCTGCTGATAATGCCCAACAATTAACAAATTCGTGCATTCGCGGACTTTGGATTTGTTTTTGCAATGTTACAATTAGCAGCAATCGCCAGCCAGAATTTGAACGAAACCCCGTCAGGCCCCTTGGGCGCAGACGCACGATGACTCGTTTGTCTCGTATTCGGGATTAGACTAGAGATGAGCGCGTGACTGACACGAACACAGATCACAAAATAACGAACTGGGAGATCTGATATGTTGCAATAGTAGGACTAATGATTTATTTATAAATAAAAATATATGATAATAATCATATATTATAATTATAATATATAAACTGAAACATTTATATATTCGTGTTTCGGCTGCGTCAGAGAAATAATTTCGCTCACCACTAATTAGATATGAAAGCAACTACGTAAAATCGCATATACTATATGCGAGTACCTAGAGACTATAAACAGCAATGCGGTGGGCGCGTGCTCTTTTTGTATCTATGCATGTGTGTACGAAAGTATATTTATATTCCAAGGAAATTAGAAATTCTGGTAAACACATTAATCAGAATGTGGGTACATTGGGTCGATCGATTGTCATTCGTCGATCGTCAGATGTCTGAGGCAAAGCAATAGTTAAGATTGTAGTAAATGAAAGACAACAATTTTTGATATTTGTTCAATTTGAGTTACTCATGGCTGGTTTGACCCGCGATAACAAATTATATTTAGCCGTCGGCTCTCATAATGTATACAACAAAACATAACAAGTCAAAAATTTGAGGCTTAAGTTGGTTCTTCGGTTATTTTTCTTCGTCTCCTCCATGTTCAAAAGGTGTTGACGACACGATGACACTGCATCGCTGTCCTGACTAGAACTAGATTAGTTCACCATGCTCATTCACTTTGATGATGCGCACTTTCTCCTGGCGATTCGATAGGATCTCATCGATATTCCAGCTGCCTCCGCTGGCGCTGCTGCTGCCATCTCTATTGGAGAAGAGGCCCAGATTGTCCTTGATCAAGTGATCGACGGCACAGCCATCGCACTGGAGTATGACCACGCCACTGTTGTAGGCCTCCTCGCTAATGGTCTTCGTGTTGCGTGTGTTGCACAGCTTGCAGAGATACACGATCTCCATGCGCCGTTGCATACGCCGGAAGCGTTTCAACGTGGTCGGCGATAAGGAGCCCTTTGGCTTGGCTCCAGTGACACTGCCCGTAATCTCGAACGGCTTAGCCGTAAAGCGACAGGCATCGAGAATGGACCGCGGAATGGATAGCGTCGAACGTTGGGCGTTATTCAGCGGTTTGTCCGCATCGGCTTCGGCATCGGACAGCGCCACTGGTCCCTGTTGTGTGGCATTGAGGATCGCATTCTGTCCATTCTGGCGTAGATAGTTGAGGGTACGCGACGTAAAAATATTGCGCAATGCATTCATTTTACATCGACATATTCACGGTTATGATGGATACGGATATGGATATAGGTTATTCGATGCCAAACACACTGCCGATCCGCGCGTGTGAGTTATTTAGATGATACTAAATTATTATTATCATAAACAAACGACGCAGTTTGCTCTGCCGAGAGCGACCACTGTAGCTACACCACCGCACGCCAATACGCGAGCAAGTGATGATACAACCGATAGTATCGTTAAATCACCGGCCAATAAGTTGATGGTGGAAATGAAGTACGAGCTTAAAAACAGATGAAATCGCATTCAATGGTTCTACAATTCAACTCATTGAGTACTTTACTTTAAAATATTATGAGCTCTGCGTATTTTCAATCATTTGAATACTACATTTATTATTTAATATTTAAACGTATTGATATTAGAATGAAGCGTTGCCAGACAAGCTAAAACACAAATTAGTTTAAAATCTTGGAAATACTATCATTTTCGGTAACAATTTGGTATTTTGACATTCGCGATTTTGGCCGCGCTCTATTTGTGGTCACACTTACGATTCAGTGTACTGAACGGTTGCAAGCTCATAGAAAATAAACAAAAAGAAAGGCATTGTAATCGATTGAACATGGGTGTAACCGTGTTGCAACCATATCCACTCCCAGAGGGCAAGTCTGGAGCCCACATCATGGACCATCTTGGCAAGCGGCTACTCTCGCTGGGCGCATCGCATGCCGGCCAATTTTTGGTTGACTGTGAGACATTCATCTCGACGCCGCAGCACGGGACGCCGGCTCGAGCAGTGCATGTGCTGCACAACTCCGAGTATCCGGCTTCCACGTTCTCCATAATCGATAATGGCACCGGCAAGCAAGTGGCCATCGTGGCCGACAATATTTTCGACTTGCTAATGCTTAAAATGACTTCAATATTCACATCAAAGAAGCAGACGAAGATTGAATCGCGCGGCGCCCGCTTTGAGTACGGCGATTTTGTCATCAAGCTTGGCTCTGTCACCATGATGGAGCATTTCAAGGGCATCCTAATCGAGATCGAGTACAGGCCTTGCATCACGCTCTCCTACTGCTGGGAAATGATACGCGAAATGCTGCAAGGCTTCCTCGGCATCAGTGTGCCCAAGGAGTATCCCACCTACTTCACCACTCAGACTATCATGAATGCCATGGGTCAGCAGCAGCTGCACGCTAAGCAGAACGACCTCTACGAGCCAATGGACACAGTCAAGCAATACCTCGAGCACTTCACCAACTACCGCAAACACGTCCAGATGCACGGTTCGATGGCCAGCTCCACTGCCTCCATGGGCTCTGGGATGCTACCCTCGTCCGTTGGGATGGGGCGACCCTGATGCGAGGTGAAGCTGGAGCCGCCAGATACCACTTAACCAGCCGGCCAACAGCGGATTTAACCTTACGATTCCCTTCTTTTCGGGTTTAAGTAAATAGTAAAAAACTGAAACTTTAATGTATTTATGTTCTCTTTTTATTATTATTTTGTATGTATTTGTAACACAATAGTTGTATATAATATATATAATAATATAATATTCATATATATATATAGAAATATATATATATGCGTGTATATGTATAGTAATATCCTATAATATGCGTATGTGCAAGTTGCTCTCTCGCACGACAATTTTTTCAAAGTACAGTTGCGTTCAAAGCGCTTACAAATTATTTAAAAAAAAAAAGTAAAAAAAAAAGTCGGAATTATTTAATTTTCAGGCAGAGCAAAATAATATTCTTTCATTTTTATACAAAAGAAATCAAAGAAAAATGTAGTCGAAGCCTTTCCAAATACTCTCAAACTGTTATACAAATAAACGTAAGAAAACGATGGAAGCTTTTGGTGTTTTTTTTTTTTTCAAATGTGCATAAAATATATGTATGTATTTTTATTCAAACTGTATGCGAGCATTACAAAGAAGAAAAATGGTGTAGTTTGTATATGTTTATAATGATAATAAGTAGATAATTTGTAGGGCCGAGTCTTCTTTCGCAACAAGACCAATTTTTTTATGCTTAAAAGTAAGAAACTGCTCTTGCAATTTTTATTATTGCTCCAATGGTAAAAATGGATTGTGTATGTGTTTATATAGGTGTGTGGTTGTAACGTGTAAAATGTAAAATACAATAAAAAAAACTAACCGCAAATTTTGTAATACAAAGCTAAAAAGTCTGGAATTGAAATCGATGTGCCTTATTTTCAATATACACACATGTATTTGAAATGTTTTCATAGGGCCAAACATGAATATTAAGTATGTATCTCTGTAAATATTTGAATAATGCATTCATTTGTTTGCAGCTTTCTTCTCTTTTCTGTCGCATGAAAACTTAAACATAACACAATTATCGTAATATAATCTGTAACTATTCATTTTTGTTTGCTTGCATGGATTTCTCTTAAACTTAGTTGTATATTCTAATCAATTTTAGTTGTGTGTTAGATGTCTAGTAATAATAACGGTGTCTCTGTGTCTGTGTTTCAGTTTGTGATTGTGTTCATGTGTATTTGTGTGTGTATGTATAACAGTTTCGTATAAGTAAATATGTTTGCAGTTCCATTTACTGCTGCAGCCTGCAGCCTGCAGCTGCGGCAGCGACGAAAATTGCTCTCATCAGCTTTTTCGCGCGCACTCTTTCTTTATCTCTCTCTATCTCTTGCTTTCCTGCACTCGCTCTTCGAAAGTATTGGTGTCTGTCTATAGGTCTGTGAGTGTGTGTGTACACGAGCGTGTGTGTGTGTTAAGTGTTTGTATGTAGTGTTTATTGCTGTTTCCGTTGTTGTCGTTGTTGCCATTTTCTTTTTGTTGCATTGTTATTTTACAAATATTTTTAAAATAATTTTATGTTTATACGTAGATATATTTATGTGTATGTATGTATGCATGCATATGTATGTATATATTACTCATATAGTTTAAACGGAGATCAATTTCCGATTGATTGTTATTTGTAGTTACTTTTTAGAGTTATTTGTATTTTATGTCCTCATTTTATTATTCCATGTGCAACAACAACAAGAGAAACAACTTTTGCTTTGTATACTCTCTCTCCCCCCTCCCTCCAGCTTTCTTTCTGTCCTCGTCTCTTAAGTTTTGTGTGTTAAGCTGTTGCTGTTGTTGTTGCTTGCGTTTAACGGTATTTTGCTTTGTGATATTGTTGTTCTGTTTTGTTTTTTGTTTTTTTTTTTTTTCATAATATTTCTGTTATTGTTGTATGCTACTGCTACTGGTGCTTCTGCTTCTGCTGCTGCTGCTGCCACTGCCTCCGAGTTGAAATCAATCGATCCTTGCTATTTAGTCGCGCATAGGCAAAGTTGCCGGCTTAACGTGTCCGCCGTCGCCCTCAGAGACAAAACGTTTGCGTCCACTGTAATTAGAGCAGAGAATAAAATCAATTGATATATGTAGATCAAAAATACTAAAAGTACTATAGAATTGCCCTTTCAGACTTCAAGAAACCCAATCAATACATCCAATGCATTCATCCTCCCTTTTTAAAGATTCACAATTTGTAGTTTATCAGGCAACAAAGGTATATTCTGTTTTGCATTATTCGCTTTTTAAGCACACTTGTGCATAAAATATTCCGTGCAAAACCATAAAGGCAACACACATTACGCATTATGCAATGCCAAAAACAATTACAACAAAAAATACCACAATCGCATTACGAAAATACATTTTGCGAATTTGGCAAGTGAGATCAAACTACAGCAACAACGAAAATGTCCTAAAAAAGCCCCAACAACAAATCTTGACGCGTTACTCGAATGAATTTGCAGCAGAGTTTATTCAACCGTTGACCCTTTTTACTCCTCTCTGAACGAAAAACTGCAGCGACAAAACAGCTGTGTTACGACTAACCTGTGCATATGTGTGTGTTTGTATGTGTGGGTGAGAGGGAGAAGGTGAGGAGCGCAGGGTGCACTATACAACTAGAAACTAGTTTCGCTGGTTTATCTGAAGTGCCGAACAAGCCAGTATCAAATTTTAACCTACATCAACTTCAAAGCTCTATTTCTGCTGCATGAATATGTATGTGTGTGCAAATATATGTATGTAATATGAAGCAAGCACAATTTGGAGACTGGGCGATCAACTATGTATGGAGAGTATAGGCAGCGAATTATTGTTAGCTCAAGCGAGCGATAGTGCGACAGACAGAAGAAACAACAAATAAATTAGGCTTATGTGCCTGGCTGCCCAATACTCTGTTTTCAAATAATAAATATAATAATAATAATAATCATACTACACATTTGAGCACAGCATACACCACACAGCACATCGTTTCTAGGGTATTGAGGGACACGTTGTCGCAGTAGCGCTCAAGTGTGTGAGCGTGTGTGTGTGTGCAATGTAAATGCTTCTGTCATAGTAGTTGGTGCTTTTTTTTTTCATTGTGACTATGTTAAGTGCCAAAGAGCAACAGCCGCAGCCAAGGCGAATGCAAAATGCAGCTCCAACAACTGCAACGACGGCAGCTAAGCTCATAGCAGCAGCAACGACAACAACAACAGCCAGCTAGCTTGTTCATATTGTTGTTGTTGTGCTGCTTTTGTTTTGTGGGTGTGGCAGAGCAGGTCGATAACAGCGGCAACTGTAACTGCAATGGCAACGGCAACAACTACGACTACGACTATAGTCAAGGCAGAAGCAGTCACAGTCGTAGTCGCTTAGCCGCCATTTTTACCTTCTCCATGGGACTCACGATCTTGAGCCACATGCAGGTTGTTGCACCACCAACAAAATCCACCATCACCACCCTATAAATGCATATGTAACTATCACAGCAGCTATAACTATTTGTGTTATCAATGCCAACTCTGTTGTGTTTTAGAAGTGTGTGTAGGTGTGACCTGCACCACGCAATCGATACGTACATATTATCGATATAAACACATTCTCTCTCTCCCTCTCTTCGCACACATACACGCACACACACAATGTTTGACTGAAAAATTCTAAATAAATTGAAAACGAGTCACACGAGTTAATAAATACTGCAGGTTGCGTGGCAAACAAACAACGAAATCAGCTTCATATCTTAGAAGTCGATAGTAAATAGAAGCTACTCATCTAATATTATATTTTTTTTCCCAGTACGACTACTGTTTACTCTATTGCGGTGATCATCTTACATGTACAATGTGTATATCTACTTATGTATATCATGTTCAGTATTTATATACGTGTATATACGTATGTGTTAATAAGAAAAAATTGCAATAAGAGCTTTCGATATTTTTTCGCAGAATATTGAAGTATATACATACATACATGCATACATACGTATATATTTTGTTTTCATTTTTCCACAAACCAAAGCAAAATCAATAAAAATAAAACTTTTCTAGGCCTGTTTGGCCGTAAAATCTTATAAAATAAGCAAACATACATATGTACATACATATGTATTTCTTAAAGAGTATATGTACATATGTACGTAAACTGATGCTTGTATGTACAAATATACATATATGTATGTATATTTACAAATGTATGTATATACCTTGAAATAATAACTAACCGGCGCTGATAAACCGGCCCCTCAAACAACGCCTGCGACTGCCCCAACCTAACGTAGACGCTGACGCTGACGACGCCAGCAGAGCCAACGCTGCCTTGCCGCAAAAATCAAACTGCGCAATAGAAATATCATAAACAAACACACACACATGCAAAGAGAGAGAGAGAGGGAGAGAGAGCGACAGACGGCACACATACATACTCACACGCAGCACAAAATTGAGAAAATGAGTCAAAAGCAAAAGTAGAAGATAAACAACAGCCAAGAACGACGCAACGGGCGACACACAAAATAACAAACAACAAGTCAAGAAGGGGAGCCGCAAAATGCCGGCAAAAACAAAAAACAAAATCAAAAACAAGTTGATGGGGTGTCTACATTCATACATACATGTATGCACATATACATACATATGTGTGTGTGCACATATCCATGTATCTATACATACCCATGCACATTGCTATATATATACACGTATACATGCATATGATATTTGTTGTATATACAGACATATACATACATATGTACACATGTATGTATGTTACAAAGCTTAGAACAATAATAAAAACAGCAAGACTATATAATGGGCTATATATTGTTGACGGGGGAGCCGCCTCTGACTGACAAGATTACGTAAAGTAAATTGTTTTTGTTTTTATTTTTGTTCCTTTTGCTTTGTTGGGCTGACGGCTACTAAACGTTGTTGTTGCCGTTCTTGCTGTGGCTTACAGGTGGGCCCGAGCAACGGGCCCTACTTTTACACACACACCCACACATAATGAACGAATAAGTTTATTGGCATGCCGATCATTCGTACTGCCTAAAAGAGGGGCGTGGGGATGGGGTGTTTAGCACACCCACACTTACCGCGATGGCACATTGTTGATAATCTTGTCGGTTAGGAAGCCGGCACGATTGCATCGTTCTACAAATCGATCGAGTATTATATACGCCAATGGCACGTCCAGCACAATATCCGCCATGTCATCAAAGACGCGCATGAAGCCCTGCAATCAAAACCAATCAAACGAATATAAACATTGATATAATAAGTGCATACAGATGTGCTAGTCATATCTATGTCATGTACAGACATGTGCGTGCCCGTATCAGGCAGAAATTAAAGTTTATTTTCACCGGTAATACTAGACACTGTCTAGTCTACTTTGTTTTATTTCTAGGTATCGTGCACTCACAACTTAAGCAATGGGGCAACACCAGATGGTTTGATTACGCATTAAGTTGGCTGCACCTTGATCAATGCTTCTCTTGTGTTTGTCTCGTATTACATTTTAATGTAAAATAATATTTTTGCATCTGTTTTGCCTAAAATATTTTTATATTTTTTTTTAATTATTAACTTTGCCTTTATTTTAATAATTGTCTATATTTTAATTATTATTTTTTCCTTCTGTTTCTTTGATATTTTCTATATTTTCAAATGATGTTTTTGCTTCTAGTTGCCCGATATTTTCATATTTTAAATTATTTTTCTGTTTGTTTTGCTAAAATAATTTCCTTGGTTCTGTTTGCTCGACATTTTTCACGTTTGTAAATTTTAATTTTTTATATTCGAAAAACATTTTGCATCACTGTTCCCCCAGCTTCAGCTATATCTATTTATACTATACTATATATTTTAATTTATTTTTTGGTATTTTTCCAAAGAGGTCACCGCGCGACGATTAACGGCTGTTTTTTGTTTTTGTATTTCACTGAATCTAATCTATTCTAAATTTAATTTGAGTTTTGTTTTGCTTCTGGCTGCTCTAGTTTTAAAACAATGGGTGGAAGTAGATATGGAACGATTTACTGACCTGCTCCATGCCAGCTGGTAGAACCAGACACGTTAGATCGAGCGACTTCAGCAGCTCGCACATGGCCTCCTCGGTGGTCTGGCTTAAGGATTCGAGTGTCATCACGACGGCCTCATAGACGAGCTCATGATGGTAGTGGGGCACCTCGAGGGCGCGCAGGCAGCGCTGCGCCTCGGCCACGTCGCGGGAGGACAGATACTCCTTGAGCAAGAGGGTCATCTGTTTTGTGATGGTCTTCACTGGCCGCAGGGGTCCGCCCATGCCCCAGACGTTGTCCAGATGGGCCCACACCTGCTTGTGGAGCAACGCATCGGCCCGGCGCAGCGCCTGCTCGGCGTACTCGTTCATCTGCTGGTGCTCCTCGGGTCGACTGACGAACTTCGGCGGCATGCAGTCGTCGGCTATGGCTCTGGCCATGAAGTTGCCCAGCATCACTGGCGCCTCGGGCGTGTCCAGTATGAGATCGGGCAGATTGGCTAGCACCATGTTGAAGCCCTTCTCGATGTCCTTGCCGGTGATGACGCGGCCATAGAGATCTGAGATTAGCACCGAGGTCATCTCCCGCTGCGAGTCCTTGTGGTCCATCGCAATCTCGACCAGGATGCTGGTAATGTACTCTCGCAGCGGGCTCTGCAAGATCTCGTCAAAGCTGACGGCCACCTCGTGGGTGTCCCCGTGCTCGTAGTACTCGAGCACAATCGGCTCGGCGAGCTTGAAGAATTCTTCGGGCGTGATTTCGGTGATGACTTCGCGTAGCTCCACATTTCGATCGTTGACCTCGCTGTCATAGTTGGGATCATTCTCATCTTCGTACACCTCGGCCAGCGCCTCCGATCCGGGCAATCCCCAGACCCCTTTGCCACCGGCACCGCCCTTCTTAGGCAGGCCCCGCCCACGTGTCAAATTGCGGGATCTTCGGCTATTCTTCCAGCGCCGATGCGGCACCACATAGCCCGTGCCGGATGGCAACATGCCGTTGGCCAGCGACGACACCGTGGTACTGGCGATGCTCGGAACAATACCGCCTCCAGCAGTAGCGGCCCCATTGGTTAGGGACGTGGCAGATGTGCCGCTGCCACTACCACTGCCGCTATTTTGTCTTTGGATGAGGCGCTTGGCCTTTCGCTTGATGCGGCCATCATGGCCGTCGCCCACGGGCAAGGGCTTCTTGATGTGATTGTGCCCATTCGAGGGCCCGCCGTTCAGCTCTACCGCCTCAATCTCGCCATTCAGTTCCCGCTCCACGGAGCTCTCCTTTGAGTCGGAGCCGCCGTTGCTGGCGACGTCGCCGTTAGCTTTCTGGTTGATATTCGACTCTAGCTCCATTCTGCTGTTTTCTGATCCCTCACTTCCCTTGTACTCTATCCGCTTTGATCCTACTCTCCTTCTCTCTCCCCCTCTCGCTCTCTCTGGATTCTTCTCGCTGCTGTTTCTTCTTGGAATGCACAACAGTTAGAGCAAGAAACACAGTTTCTGCTCTCCGTAACCCTCGTGGAACCTTATGTATGTATATGTATATGTATCGCTCACTCTTTCTCAATCTCCAATTTGTTTATTGTACCGTGTGACCAGGTGCTACACTTTCCTTGTGCTCTTGTTGTGTTTACTTGCTCTTGATTTAATCGGTTGCTATAAAACACAAGGAATAATATATCAAGAGTGAGATATTAGTGAATGCCAACTTAGTTGATTTTCTTTATAATATATTTATGTTATACATATGTATGTATTAAAGCAATTTTTGAGAACGAAAATAACTATGCAATACTGGAGAAATATAGTTCAAATACAATCCCGTTATAACTTTCTTCCCCATCTCGATAATATTTCAATGTAAATGAATGGCAAATTTCATAAAAGCGAAAAGCATTTAAGAAGTCGATTTATTATTGAGCATTTTCATTCTTTATGTAGGGCATATATCATGTGACGAATTCTGAAGGAAGCAAAGCCCAAAGAATAACATCCCTATACATGAATGCATATTCAAATAATTCATAATACGTGGACAATGCATGTAAAGTCGCCCCAAAGTCTTGCGCCATCTATCCATATATATATGTATGTACTAACTTATACATTGTTGTGATCACTCACACACCCAAACAAGCACAACAGGCGGCTGACTAGACTAGAAAATGATAGCAACAGCGATACGGCGGCCGTCGCTTAAAAACTATAAATAAACAATATTGGCATTTATGTACATAGTTTTTGGTTTTTGTTGTGCTTCTTTTTGTTGTTACATTCGCATGCAAGTGCCGTTATTTATTGCAAAGAGACTGCCAAATGAATATGCGAGGCGAATACAAACATACTTTTGTACGTATTTACATATATGTATATCTACATAAATATGTACATACAACATATGTATGTATGTATGTATGTAAATGCAGACTGTGTATGACAATGTTTATATTCATAATTATTTGCTTTTAAACATTGTATACTTAAAGTCCTGAAGGCATACAATATAATAAATATATGTTTGTATATGTAGACATTGTCTTTCCACCAATGTATGAATGTATGTATATGTAAATATATACATACGTACATAGTACATATATGGACATATGTACGTTTATTTGTATGCAGATATGTGAGATACGCATATCAAACTCTCACTGGCGGCCTGGACAATTTCAAGGTCACAAATACAGCAAGCATAAATGTCGCCGTTAGCTTTCCAACCCTCACAATTGACTAATATTATTGCCATCTCTGTTGCTCTCAATAAGAGAACTTTAAACGAAGTTTGTCACAGACACATCGATATGTGCTGTGCTTGGCCGTGCACAGAGTATTGGATATGTGTATTAACAGAGAAATGTAAATACATACATATGTATGTTCATCGACATACATATGCACACACACATGTATGTATGTATTTGTATATGTATATGTTCTGTTTGGATATACACTAGTACGTGGAGAACAGCACCGATTCTTTTTAATTTGTTATTGCATTGTTTTGTAAAACTGCACATGGGTAGGCAGTGTAAAGAAGTACATATACATACACACATACATATGCACGTACACTTCCATACATACATATGTACATATATTAACATGAGTTTTAAATACATGTGTATTTACATACATTAATCCTATGCTATTGCGTCGCATGTTCCTTCTCAATACATATAAGCACACACACACGCATGGTTTTGTATGCTGTAACCGGTTTGATGTTTGTTTTGCCCGGTTTAACCTTGAAAATGAGTCCCCTCTTACAAACTTTCTATGTTATTGCCGCACTGCGTTGTTGTTCTTGCCTCTGTTTCGCACTTGTTGTGTCCCCTCTGCAAGCACACCCAAAACAAAAACCAACCACCGTTGCGATTCAGCAGGAGTGCCCAGTTCAAAATTTGGCAATGTTTTTAAAATAAACACATAAATGCGTATGTAGATATATGTATAAACAAAAGCACATGCATTAATATATTCTTATAAATACACACACACACACCTATGTATATATGTATGTATATTCTTGTTGTTTTCGTGCGTGCTTGTAATTGTTTTCGAAATTCTCTGCAAAGAGCATAAAACGACGCTTTGCCGAAATTGCGTCGCAAAAAATAAAGACAACGGCTGCAAAAGCGAATACATCAGCAACAGCATAACTAACGTACCTACAAACATAGGTAAGTATGCTGCACTAAAAACAGTAACGTCTATATAAATAAGTACACTCTATCCATGACGGACGCAATTCACACCACGGTAAATAAAAAATTGCATTCCATTATGTAATGTAAATACATGTATGAATTTATGTATACAAGCATACATTAAGAACATAAACAACATATAAAAGGAAATTTGCAACAGTGGCAACGCCAGTTATGAGCCGCGCATGGAAATGGAATGAGCTGGAAGTTTGCCGAATACAAATTCAGTGAGCATAAGAGAAGAGGAAGAAGAAAAACAAGTTGGCGCGCATGGTTGTATTCTCGGGCCGCCCTCTCCACCCCATCTATGTGTGAAGCTGTTTGGTTGATTGTGTGCGTAAATGCCGGCCGAATTTATCACGTACGCCATATACAAAAATATGCAGCATTTGAAATCTAATTTTAAATTTAAATATATTGCATCAATCGCAATTGCAGTAACTGATATAACAGAACATGTAATTTACAAATATGTGAGTGCATATATGTATGCATATATATGTATATATGTGTGCATACTCTTTAGCTGTATACTTATGTATTTATATCGCACAAGTATTTTATTTATTATGGATTCATATTCGCTTCGTGGTAATTGCCGGTAAAAGCCGGTTTTTGTTTGTTTGTTTCAAATTATATAATAATACATATACATATGCATGTACATATACAGATGTATGTACATATACATATGAACAAAAAAATATAAATTAAATATTTCTGTATATTACTCCATACATATCCACATGAGACTTAATTCTCACTTACCTCAGCGTGTGTACTTTCTGATTGCCTTTTGTTCTCTGTTCGTTTGCGTCCTCACACTCGCGGCGACAACAACAATAACAACGTCGACGTTGGGCTAAATGCAGCGACGTCGACGACGATGTTGGCGCGCCTGCAACTGCTGGAGCCTGTTTTGTTTTTGTTTGTTTGGCAACTTGCTTTTGGCGTTGAAAATCGTCTGTATGTATGAGGATTTTTATGTGAGTGTAAATGCGTTTGCTTGTGTGTGTGTGTATATGTGGTTCTGTTTTCTCTGCAACGCGTGGGTTTGCTCGCAATAGAATGCACACAAAATGCAATTGGAAAATACTTTTTGATGTTTATACTTGTTTCTTGCTTTCAACCATTCACTTTTGATCTAAGTAACTTGCAAAAAATATTGATGATCACGGATGCAATGGCGTTAATAGCAGATAATGGCTATTCGACACCCTCGCAGTTAAGAGCTCAAAACGTGCAATGCACTCTTATACACACACACGTGAGTATGTATGAAAGGGCTGGATAAGCGCGCTGCAAGTCGGCGTCCAATTAGACTTTTCTTATTAATTCAATTAGTTTTTTTTTTGTTTTTTAATCAACTTTAAAAAAAATTGTATTCAACTTTACTGAAGTTGTAGCAAAATTCAGTTTTCTTTTTATTTTAATCAGAAGGGTGCTTGGGGTATGAGATTTGAAATATCCGTAACGAAGTGAACACGACAACAATTCCACTGAGAGTAACATCTGTTATTCGCTTTGACTGGGGGTTTATATCGGAGGGAAATACACTACTATTGCCAGCTCAAACAAAAATACTAAAAAAATATGCTGTAAATGTGCGCAAGGGCTGGTCATATTGATTTTGGTGCTGCCATACTCAATATAGCCAGTACGTGCGAGAGCACAATTTATGAACAGCAAATTGATGATTCTGAAATCAAAAATAAATGCACATGTATATAATAGCAAAAACGTTGTCAAACAGATATATTTATAATAATTTATTTAAATTGAATTAAAGGCAAGCCTTTGTTGTGACCAAATTGTTGGCTAGACTAGAATCAGCTTTCAAACTAGTATTGAGTTTCTGAAATCTCTTAATATAAATACATATCATACTTGCGGATTTCAGGTAAGTAAAGAATCCTCATTTTTGTTGTTGAACTATTTTGATCTCTGTTGCTGGCAGTACTTTTTTTTTTTTAATATTTCAAAAGTATTACAGTGACGAGATACATTGTACTCGATATATCGATGTTAATTGTTATCGCGCGCATGCCAGATCTATTGTTTACAATTTGGACGCACGTGCAAACGCTGAGGATAGATTCTGTTTCTTTCTTGTGTTTATAAATATAATTAGAAATTATGCCGCCAATTGCACAGGAAGGCAATTGCCTAATATATCGCGGCAGCAATTTCCTGAAGCAGCGTCTTGTGCTGTCCTGCCTGAGTGGAAAACCAGTTAAAATTACACAAATTCGCGCCGACGATGAGCAAGCACCCGGTTTGCGGGAATACGAGATCAGCCTGATACGTCTGCTCGACAAGCTGACAAACGGCACCAAAATTGAATTAAACCCCGCCGGCACCAGTGTCATGTTCAGTCCCGGTCTGCTGCACGGCGGTGCGTTACAGCACGATTGCTGTGTGCAGCGTGGCATTGGCTATTTTTTGGATGCACTGATTGCACTGGGTCCGTTCTGCAAGTACCCGCTGCAGTGCACGCTGCGTGGCGTGACAAACAGCAGGGACTCGCCGTCGGTGGATCATATCAAAGGAGCTGCGCTGTCGCTGCTGAAACGCTTCATCCTGGTCGACGAGGGTCTGGAGCTGCGCGTCGTGCGTCGCGGCGTTGCGCCCCTTGGCGGCGGTGAGGTCTTCTTCAGCTGTCCTGTGCGCAAAAGCCTTCGCGCCATACAGTTCCAAGAACAGGGCATGGTGAAGCGTATCCGTGGTACTGTCTACGCCTGCAAGGTTTCTCCGGCGATGGCCAATCGTACCGTGGAGGCGGCCAAGGGCTGCATGCTCAAGTTCCTGCCCGACGTCTACATCTACACGGATCAAAATCGTGGCAAGTTGTCAGGCAACTCGCCAGGTTTCGGCATCTGTCTTCTGGCCGAGACCACAGACGGCGTTTGCTTCGCCGCCGATTGCATCTCCAACACCAGAGAGGAATCGGTAAGTACTCATACTTGGAGTTCTCACTTCTAATTGAATAACATTTGATTTGCTCTGCAGGATACGCCATCTATACCAGAAGACTTGGGGCGAGATGTGGCCATGCGTCTGTTAGACGAAATCTATCGCGGCGGCTGCTGTGATTCTGCCTACCAATGGCTGGCCGCCCTCTACATGGCGCTCGGTCAGAAGCACGTCTCCAAATTCTTAACAGGTACCGCAGTGCCATTTACATAAATACCTTTTACTCGACTAACACTTTATCTGGCCGTATTTCAGGTCCACTCTCCACATACACAGTGCACTTCCTACAGCATCTGCGTGACTTCTTCTCAATCACATTCAAACTGGAGAATCCCGAGACGGATGACGATGGCGAGGATGATATGCGAGGTGCGCAAAAAGTGCTTCTCACTTGTGTGGGCATTGGCTACACGAACATAAGCAAACGCGTTCTGTAATTTTTTTTTTTTTTAATAATTATTTAGACACAAATAAAGAAATACATTTATATAATATATGTATGTATGTAAGCCGATGTCTATTATTATGAAATGAAAAAAGTTCGAATTGCAGAATACTGTTATTTCGTGTAAATGCTTTTGTAACATAAAATTGCTTAAAATTTATGCTAATAAGTTATGCAATTTAAACAATATTTATTACGATACATATGCATGTATGTATTTATATTTATAAATATATGTACATTAAGCAAGAGTGTTCTTGCTGAGACTGTTCGACTAATAGGTCGATTGAGGCCGGCAAAGAGCTGGAGGGGGTATTATTCTACGAAATTTCCGCCTCTAACGGTAAACGACACCACGCTTAATGAACGAGCTATCGATTATTATCGCAGATAAGGAAATGACATGAAAATAATATCCTAAAGTGCGTAATGTCATTTGAATGTTTGATGGTATAAACGAGCATACGCTCAAAATATCAAGATCCCAGCTTTTGCGCTTTACGAGACCATCGACGGACGTGCCTACATCGCCTCAGGTAGTTGTCCTGATCAAGAATGTAAAGCCTTTGCGAAGTCTGCCACGCCTGCTTTTGCATGTTACATTCTTTCTGCAAAACGATTCTACCCTGATTTCCCACTTGCAATAAGTTGAGGGCATTAAGAAAAGTTGATAAGTTTTTGCTTAGCTATGCAAAACAGCCGCAAGTTTATTGAACAGCAAAATACTAACAGACATACATATATTATATATGCATACATATATATAAACTGTCATTTTTTATGAATAAAATATACCATATTGCGCAAGAAAAAGGTATATTATTTCAGTTTACATTTAAAAACGAATAATTAAAATTGGTGCTTTTGTTATCGTTGGCATTTACACCGATAGCCAGCTCGGCAATCGATTGAAATGTTGCCGTTGGATTGTTGTAATATGGTCACACTTTTAGCATTTAAATGGAAATTGAAAAGACAACTTGGCACAACTTTGTTGCAGGACGCGGCGTTGCAGTTTGTAATCAGTGGTCAGATCGGGCACAATCGGATTGGATTGGCGGGTTCAAAAACCTAAATATGGGTTGCCAAGGTAACCGCGATAAGCAATCGATGGCCCTTGTTGTTGTTTGATTGCACACTCAAACAGTTTTTGTGGTCTAGGTGAGAGGCTTGCGACACACACGCTTGCCAAGATCAGCAAAAATGGAAAAGTGCAAAAAACCAAAGCACAAAAATAAAATCAAATTGACAACGGCGGCAACTTCCTGCGACGTAAGCGCGGCTTAGGCGTCCACAGCTATAAAAAGCGGACGCTGAAGGGCAACACCTATCAAACGCCGATCAACGTTTGGACACCATTCATCTCTGTGTTAGCCCGATACGCCCTACATTATGAGTCTGAGACTGTGCCTACTGGCATGCCTGGTTGCGGCTGCTTGTGCCTCCAAGAGCGAGCTGAAGCCCACCAACTGGCTGAGCGCCAATGAGCTGGAAACTGCGCCATCCTTGAACGACATCTCGTTCGAGCGGCTGGAGAGTATGCCCCTGCAAAAGGGCGCTCATATGGTGGAGAGGATGTGTAAGTGTCCACGAAGTGCATAAGTGGTAGAGCGTTGCTAATCTGTGGCGAACACATCCATCCATCTAGATCACATCGCCCAAATCAACAACGAGCTGACGCCCAGCTTTGTGCCCAGCGCCAGCAACATTCCAGTGAGGATCATCAAGGCCAATGGCGATCGTGTGGATGCCAAGCTGAACAACTATGTGGAGAAGGCTTTTGCCCAGCCGCGATTCGGCCAGGATGAGGTCACCATTGTGCTGACTGGCCTGCCCCAGACCTCGCCCACCATCAAGAAGGCTATGTACAAGCTGGAGCAAGCCTACCTACAGCGTTACAATCTGCAGGAGCAGCAGAAGCACGCCCTCCAAAACCAGCAGAAGAGCACTGAGTACGAGTCGACCTCTAGCGAGGAAACAGCCGATGAGTGGAAGAATGCCCAAACCATTGCCGGCGACTTGATCGTAAGTGCATCAACGATAGAATATAAATATATATGAATTGTGTCACCTACTCCCTACCACTGGGCAGATCATCGACTTGGGAGACACTTTGACCACTTTCCAGCGTTACGCCCTGCTCGACGTGTCCGCCACCGGTGCCATGGTTGGCCACACCCTGATCGAGCTGACCAACAAGGGTGTGCCCCAGGAGATAATCCACTTGATCGGACAGGGCATTGGCGCTCATGTTGCTGGTGCTGCTGGACAGGAGTACACCGGCCACACCGGACACAAGCTGCGTCGCATCACTGGTCTGGATCCCTCCAAGCTGCTGGCCAAGCGTCGTGACTACCTCGTCGGTCTGTCCCGTGGCGATGCCGAATTCGTCGACGTCATCCACACCTCCAGCCTGGGCATGGGCACGCCCATGCGTTGCGGCGACGTTGACTTCTATCCCAATGGCCCCAGTCAGGGTACACCCGGCTCCGAGAACGTCATCGAGGCTGTCGTGCGCGCCACCCGCTACTTCGCCGAGTCTGTGCGTCCCGGCTGCGAGCGCAACTTCCCCGCCGTCGCCGCCAAGTCCCTGAAGCAGTACAAGCAGAACGACGGCTTCGGCAAGCGCGCCTACATGGGCATCGATGTCGACTACGACCTGCAGGGCGATTACATGTTGGAGGTCAACGCGAAGAGCCCCTTCGGCAAGCGTGCCCCCGCCCAGAAACAGATCTCATACCACGGCCAGCGTCACGAGATCTAAGTCATTGAACAAGAGCATCCGACCCAGAACTTGGAAAATGGAAAACAACAAACTAATTTTACATTTAAGCATCAATCAATAAACGAGCATATTTTCTAAACTAGAATGGCTGGGCTTTAAAATAGTTCACAAATGGAAAGAGCAGAGAAAGGCGCTTACTGGTCAATCTGTGATTGTATGTTGAAAAGAATCGGACTTCTTGATGGAGCACAGTAAATTCCGTAACTTGTATCAACAAGCTTTTAATTAGACCATAGTTTGTTGAATTCGAAAGTCTCAGATGTTGTATATATTATGAGTGGGCCTAAATTGCCAAGAATTCGGATATATTTCTAAACATGTTTTTTTTACCCTGAACCCATTGAATCTGGGTATATTGGTAAGTATGTAACAGGCAGAAGGAGGCGTGGCAGACCCCACAAAGTATATATATTCTTGATCAGGGCACGTCGATTTAGCCCTGTCCGTCCGTATACATATGTGAACGCGTCGATCACAGAAGATATACGAGCTAGACAGCTACCCCTTTAGAGGTAGGATCTGCAAATTTTAAATGTAGACTCATATGTATTTTATAGAATTTCGATTTTGTTCTAAATGTCTTAAAGTTAATCCCATTTGAAAAATCTCAAAGAAGTCACAATTTTTTTTTTTTTTTTTTTTTTTTTTTTTTTTTTTTTTTAAAAAAAAAAAAAAAA